CACGCTATGTAAGGACTAACTGGCACATGGGGATGAGGAACACCAAGCAGTTCCCTTCACCCATCAGCACTCTGAACACGAGGTCATCTCTGCCACCAGCACCTCCCAGCCTCTAGAAACAGGTCTTTTTTAGCAGCTGAATCACAAGTACCTGGCAGGTGTCATTGCAGGAATGACTCCACACAGGTCACTATGACACGGTTGGGTTTTCCAAGTTGTTCTTTCTTTCATGGTGTTATTTGTACCAGGGAAATACAGCAGGCTAAAAGCTACATGGTTATTTTCTTTTTTACATACCACAGTAGAAACAGTTACCGAGTTATATTTGTCAGAGTCACAGTAGTTGATGCATATTTGCTATTCACAGACTGCAGAATATTGCCAATAACCTCACTGGTGGGGACTGACAACACAGAGATACATGCATTCATGTGAGACCATTACCAATGATGCCTATACTGTATTAAGCACATTCATTTCTTTAAACACCTTCCAGTAAAATCGATTCCTTGAAATTTGTAGTTAAAACTTTTTGTTTTCTCCACAATTACGCACAAAATAACCTGTAAACAGTTTGACATTACACGTATGTACAAGTGAACCACGTTGGAAAGTAGAGAGGTAATTCAGTGGGTGCCACTTAATCTACGTCAATGTGCAACAGACTGACTCAGCCTCGGCAAAGTCATCGAGTGCTTGGATGAGGTCCGAAAATCCACCAGAAGCAAGGCCCCGAGGAGGGGAGGACGTCTCCACCCCCCCGGCCGGTGCCGTGGCCACTGCCGCCTCCTCCGAGCCTTCTGCCTGCTCAGCTCCCACTTCTGCCTTGTCCCGTTTGCTTTCGCATTGCTATAGTTTAAAATCCGTAATATCATCCTTATAAACCGATCCTTAGCTAAGTGGTACCGCTGCCAAGAAAAATAAAGAGTGTCTTTTTATAATATAAATAATTTAAATTTAAAAGTGCTTTTTTTGTTCTTTTAATCTACAAAACCCCGCTGGGGCATAAACTATCCATAAGACTGGACAATTATCTTGTACCATGATACACATGGGGCCTTATGCATAAAGTACTCTGCAAGTCAAGTCCACCTTGTACTCGCAATGGTGGGAAGGGCTTCGGGCCAGGGTGAGAACTTGGGGGGCATTCTCCAGCCTTCCTGGGGCTTGGAGAGCCGCATGTGGTGCAGCTGAAGGGCTCTGCCATGTTATGGTCATTGCCAATAAAAATCAACCTCATTTTCTCCTTCAGCCCGCAACTTTGCAAGTAAAATTAATAAATGGACTCACAAAAGTAGAATTTAAACCCCAAAACATTCTGCAGAGTGCTGTGAGGCCTCTGCATGGTGTGGCGTGCATGTGATTTAGGGAAAGGTAAAGCAATTTGGTCCCCAAAGGTCTATGTAAATCCCATGTTCTCCCTTGGTCTCCCCCTGATGCTCTGAGCCCTGCTCAGGTCTCCCCCATAAGGCACTCACCCACCGTGTGCTCATGAAGGGGTACATCAGCCTCCCCCACGCCTTCAGCTCAGTGCCTTAAGCAAGACTATGAACAGACCATGGCAATGAAAGGCTGGCCACACACGAGACCCCTAAACACCAGACCTCTTTGCCATACACAGAAGTGATAAGAAGCATAAGTGGATGTGAACTTTATTAGAGCTTAATGGCTTCCCCTCACCCTCACTGGTGTAAGTGCCCGTTTTTCTTGAGAAAAGGTGTTTTAGGGGAGTCTCAGTCCCACTGAAGTCAATCTAAGTTTCAAATTAGTTTCAATAGAACCTGTATTTGGTCTCTGTTGTGTGTAGAAAGAAGCTCAAATCCCATTTTGCTCCCCAGCTATTTTAGAAAGAATAAAGTACTCTGTTAACCGAGTTCTGTTCTGGCTTGCTATCGCTAAGTGACCAAAAATGTCCTAGGGACAGACACAGGTTCTCTCACTGAAAGAAAGGAGAATTGACCTGAATATTCCGAGCTCCAAACCCAGCTACCTTATAGATAACCTGTTATTCCAGCTTCAATTCCCCCCACTGCGTTGCCTCTGTCTCCCACCTTTCCCTGATCGCCCCATTTCAGCTGCAGCATTTCCATACCCACCTAGTACATGACTTTCTCCCCACCCCTTCCAACAGTCAATGATGCCACATCCTGAGACAGGGGAGAACCATGCCAGGAAGGCAGGAGTGCCCTCCTCCAACAGTGCCTGTATCTAACTGTAGGTATGGATATGGACTTGTATACATGTACGTGTGCACAGCACAACTTTGGGGAAGAGGTCTTCCAGAGTTAACACCTTCTTGCCCTCCTGTGACAAGAAAACCTCTGTGCCTGGGCAGGGAGGGGACCATCAGCACTGGCACAAGGTCTGGTTGCTCTTTCCTGACCTGCTGCCACCCACATGTGAATTAAGGGGCTCTGGAGAGCAGCATTTCCTATGTCCATGGTGCATGTCTCTACCCCTCGGCAGGGTCCAGTGCCCAGCTGATGGTAGCACAAGGTGCCCAAAGTGTGGCTCTTTGGTGGGGTGCAGTTCTGGCAGTGGGGTACTGGTGGTCCAGAGAAAAGCAGCAAGGAAAGGAGGGGGAGAGGAGGACTTGGAGCAGCAGTAACGGATGCTGTGCAGCATCCAGCGGCTGAGCCCCACTGGAAAGGGGGAGAGGGCTCCCCACCATTGCCCAGGGGTTTCTTGGCAGCAGGGAGTCTTCCACCTCAAGCCTGCCATCACAAAGCCTCAAAGCACAGCCCATAGCTCCTGTGACACAACTGCAACATGACACTGGACCAGAATGAGATCCCTGCATAACACAGCAGCACAAGAGCGCATGAATACCCACAGGTACCCCCATGCCCAGGCACCCGCTCTCCTCCAGCCCCATCCTGATTGTGGTTCCTGGCAGGCTGGGCCTGCCTGTGATTACTGCAGTGTAAGACCTTTATTTCTGTAGCACTGGAGAGTAATAACCATTTCATCTAAAACTGAAGACATGAAGGCCACATAAATCAAGCCCATTCGGGCACGTTTCATTTGGTCTAATTTTTCTACAGTTATTCATCATGGCGCAGTCCTGTGCGCCCTGAACGTCACTGGAACACACACACACACTCACACACACAGTGCCTGCTCTTCCGCTGCCACACATTTTAGAGCCCCAGCATCTGTGGGATTAAAAAGAGAAGGGGATGATCTGGTGGGGTGGGGAGGACAAGGTTTTAGCTGCAGCCTGCTGCTGAGGGGTGACCCACCCCGAACCACACACAGCTGGAAACTGAGGGAGAGCCCTGTCTGTCCCCCAGTTCTGTTTGCTTGGTGCCGGGGGGGAAGGCGGGGGGGAGATATGGGAAATGTTGAGTAGGAAAATTAAAATACTATAAACCAACCAACAAATAACTGAGAGCAGCCAAATCCATGGATCTTGTGCAAAGCGCTGATTTCCATGCAAAAATGAGCAGCTAAGCAGAGGGATGCAGCACTTCAGGCATGAACCGGTTCTAGAGCCTGATCCCAAGAAGTGATGCATTTTCTCACCGAGCCCTGCACTTCCCAGGTCAGCCCCTGCTTCACAAGCTCACTCTGTTACCAGTGCTGCACGCTCACTGCAAGAAACAGCACTCTCCTTGTGTGTAAGGCCTCAGTAGAGATGATGCCAAGCTGCCACATCCAAGCCCCACGCTCCAAAGGCTGGGACATGCACTGCTGGGGGGTTTTCCCCCTCCCCACAGCCAGCTCATGCCATGGATCCCTCTGGACAAGTATTGCTTCCTTTTCTGCTGGTAAAATCTGCACCTCACAATAAGCACGGCTGCAGCTGCGCAATGAACATGAACCTCTGCCCGTGCAGACCCAACACCGATGTCCCTGCAGTGTCCCAGCCAGGTGTGCGGGCACGATGGAGCCCTGCAAGGATGAAGACATCACCTTGCATGAAGAGAACAGAAATCATCTGTGCAGACTTGACTTCACCTCCCATAGCAGCTTCTGAAAGTTAAGAGGGGGGAAGCCCTGGAACCTGCAGGACACTAGAGAAGTTAGAGTCGAAGTGCTTTGTGTTACCAGCACTATCACTTCCCATAGTTTTACATATATATAAAATATCTCCTTCTTCTTATGCCTTTAGAAAACAAATAATTTACCTCAAATATCACAGCTGCTTTGTACTCAGTTATGGTCAAAGCAGGTAACTGCAGTAATTCATTTTTCCATCACTCTCCATAGCTCGGCAGCCTGAGCTCACCCCCAACCTGTACCTGCACCGGGTTTCACCAGCCCTGTGTCTCGGACCACTTGCCAGCATCCGGCACCCTCCGGCCCTTGCTCGGGTGCTACCTGGCACTGACAGCCTGCTGCACCCCATCGCTGCCATTCCCCAAGCTCTGCTCGCTGGGATCTGACCCATGCAGGACCAGCCTTGCCCATGGCTCCCCAGCCAACAGGAGCTCACGGCTGCGGATGGGAGCGGCACAGACGCAGGTGCCTGCAGGGACGGGGACACGGGTACCTCCTCCTGGGCCGTGTGCTGCCTCCTGAAACGTGCATGAGTGCCGTCCCGCAGCGAGGATCCCCTGCACATGGCTCCTGTAATCCCTTGGAATGGCTTCTGTGCAGGAGCTGGGGCCAAGCACGCCTGCAGCGCTCCACCATCCTCACCAGCACCGGCAGAATTCCTACAGCTTTCCAACTGGGATCAGCACGCATCCAACCCACTGGTACCGGAGAGCCTTAAGAAACACGACAAGAGGCGCAGGGAGGACACAGAGGGAACAGGATCATCAAAAACAAATGGAATATTTTGCTGACGGCAACAAAGCCCCACACACTGCTCCCTGGTCTCCACTGAAATGCATTTACAGTGTCTCAGAGAAGGAGGGGGAAGAGGGAGAGAGGAGAGGGCCCATGGGATGGGTTTTCTACTGTTCAACCCTCAAAGACCTGAAGAAGAAACAGAACATCCACAGACTGCTAAAAAATGCTCTTTTTGGAGAAAGTGCAGTTATAAGGAGAGAGCCAAAAAATCTTTAAGCAATATATATTGATATATATATACATATATATATACACAGAGATATATATACACACATATATATATGCACATATATATATATACACATGCTTAAGGTAAACTGTCATGGCATAGCTTGTTTCTGTGAGCAGTGTACATCCCTCCAAACAAACTGTGCACTATGAGGAGACGGGGGGAGGCAGCAGCCCCGGACCAGGACACTGCCTGCCCACGGGCCACATCCAGCAGCAGCAGCAGCCTCCCCTCCCCACTGAGCATCCCTTGCCCTCGGCATGGATGTGCCCTTAAGGTATTCAGCTTGTGTAAGACTCAGAGTTTACAAAGAAAAGCGTTTGTCATTGTGCTTCCACGGCTGGAAAAATCTCTTGCCCTAGGACTAGAAATGTTAAGGTGAAAGAGGCAAATTAGGCAGTACAATAGAGATGAATTCTGTTTCGCTTGTGACCTATCAAATAATTACGATTGGGAATTATTTTCGTATCACTTAGAACCTCGCTCTAACGGTGAGCAGGTCGTGTGCTTCCCCCGCCCTGAGCCTATAGGTGGTACTTCCGCAGCAGTTCGGATTGCCAGGGATGTTTCCTCTCTGGAAACCTGTCTGGGATTTTGATTTTGAGGAAATCCTGGATGCATTTTTCCAGCTCCTCCTCAATGGAGAGCTTCTCCTTCACCGCTTTCTTCTTGCTGGAGTTGGACTCGCGGGAGCCAGAGGTGAGAGTCCGGAGCAGGTCGCTCTTCCTGCGGATCTCGGACTGCTGCAGCAGCTGCACCGGCCCCTTCTTGGCCGGCCGGTCCAGAGTCTGTATGTTGGGCTGGCGGGTGACGGGGCCGCAGATGACGGTCTCCTGCGGGGAGCTGGCCTCAGACTGGCTGTCGCAGCTCGACGTGGACAGCTCGTTGCAGGACGTGCCGCTCTCCCCCTCCTTGTCGCCTTTGCCATTCTTGCAGCAGCAGTCGCAGTGGGACGGGGACCACCGGGAGGGCTCGCCTGCAAGAGGAACAGACCCGGGTTAGCGGTGGCTCTGACAGCCAGCTGTGCCCGAGGCAGGATGCTCACTCCCGCCGCCGGGGAGCGTTCCTCAATGTCCCCACAAACCGACACCGAAACCTCCAGCCGGGCTCAGGTGGGAGCTGACCTCCACTAACCTGGGAGCTCCATCACCCGCTCCCCGGCCTGTGCTGCTCAGCTCCCTCCAGGACCTCAGAGAATCACAGAATAAATCTCAGCCTGGGTTGGGTTGGGAGGGACCTCAAAGCTCCTCCAGCTCCAACCCCTGCCACGGGCAGGGACCCCTTCCACTGGAGCAGCTTGCTCCAAGCCCCTGTGTCCAACCTGGCCTTGAGCACTGCCAGGGATGGGGCAGCCACAGCTTCTCTGGGCACCCTGTGCCAGCACCTGAGCACCCTCATGTTCTGCACACATTTAGGCACAGGCACCCCACCAGCTGTAAATCCACAGCCACAGGGAAGAAGAGGGGGTGCAGCCCCTCATGCCAGGCTGGAGGGCCAGACTCTGCTCAGGGGGTGCTCTATGGGCTGGGGACACCCCAGCTGCCATCAGGCACATCTATAGTGTATACCTCATTACCACAAAACAAGCCTTTCATAAGTTAATTAAGGCCTAATAGATGCTAATTTCACTTAATGAATATTCACCAAGGATGGGCATACAGCGGGTGAGCGTGAGGCAGAAATGTATGTATTCATGAGGTGGAACAGTGAAAACCAGGCGAGCTCTGGGTGCTGGAGACAGTGGTGGGTTTGGGAGGTTCCTGGGATAACCTCAGTGCCACAGGTGGGAGATTTCATTGAGTTTGGGCCTGAAGCAGTGGAGAACCTTTATTCCCCATGGGGTGAATGGGAAGCCATCAGCTTGAATCCCCAAGGGACCTGCACCTCCTGGGGATCCTCACAGTTCCCAGTGCAGGGCATGGGTCTCCTCATCCCGGCTCTGGTGCTGTCAGGGGACAGACAGTGCCCTGTGTTTTGCAGTGAGGGGAAGCGCCTGCAGCAGCACCAACCCATGCAGCACCCGCAGCTGAGCAGGATGGGTGCTGAGCCCCGGCACCAGCCACCATTCCCGCAGCAAACTGAACATCGCACTGATTTAACCACTGAATTCATTAATTAATGTCTAAATGCTTTGAGATTCTGAGATAAAAGGGGCTAATTAATTCTGGCCTGGCTTTCCTGGCTTTCTCCCTGATCTCAGCACATTCGTCTCCCAGTGCCCTAATTATAATTATTATTATTAGAAGCTTCTGAAGAAGCAGCAAAGACTCTGATGTATAATTGACACACAAACCATCAGCCTTCCAGTTTTTCTCTTCTCCTCTCCCTCTTCCACAACAAACCCGCTGCAAGCAGGGAACAGGAAATCCCTGTGCAGAGGGGCTGCTGGTGCGCAGAAAACCAGGGAGAGAACCGAGACAGAAAATCAAAGGGGCACAGAACCCCCACACCAGAATCACTGAAGTCTCTTCGTTGTGAGAAAAGGCGCACAGACCCTCACCCCGGCCATCACAGATAACCAGCTTGCTCCAAGCCCCTGTGTCCAACCTGGCCTTGAGCACTGCCAGGGATGGGGCAGCCACAGCTTCTCTGGGCACCCTGTGCCAGCGCCTCAGCACCCTCACAGGGAAGAGCTTCTGCCTAAGAGCTCAGCTCAGTCTCCCCTCAGGCAGGTTCAAGCCATTCCCCTTGGCCCCTGCGGTTCTCACAGCCCTTTCCCTGAGGCCTGGGGTTGGTTTGGTCTGGGGTTACTTTTGGGTTGTTGTTTTTCCAAGGGAAAAATTCTGTGTGAGCCCAGCACAGGATAACAAACAGCGGGTTTGTTGCTACAGATACGGAGCTAGCAGCAAACTGCCCATCAAGAGGCACTGAGGTTTCTTACTCGAAGGGAAGGGACAATGCAGGGCACAGAGATTTGGCACAGAGTGCTCCTTGAGGCAGTGTCCAGACACTCCTTACTCCTACATGCATGGCTGTACCAACCTTTGTCTGTGAGCATCCTAATTCGAGCCATTCTGTTTTACTGCTCTCAATCCAGTCTCATCCATTTCTGTTGTCCTTGTACTCTTCTTACTGCTTCTTTTGCTTTAGAGCCCTGAAGCAGTTAGCTTTGGGTTTCCATTTCCAGTTCATATTCCCTTTCCTCTTCCTTGTCCCTCCACCTTTAACCTCCCAACTGCTCTCAGGCTTTGCTCATTTCTCCACACTTTATCTTTTCTGCTGAGGCTAATTGCAGCAAATGACCCCCACCTGAGCAGTACCTAACACCACAGCCAGGACTATCGGCAGGTGGGAATGGGTAGCTCCTGCTCTGAGCCAGGCAGCCTCTGAGCCACCCTTGGCCAGCCTCCATCCCCTCTAGCCCATGGGGACCTACCCATGGGGCACCTGAGGGGCTGATGCCCTTGCCTCCATGCTTCCCTTTGTTTGCAACCTGGTGAAGCAAATATTTTCCCTTCCACACCAAAAACATTGAAGAGTTGAAGCTTTTAAAAATACTGCACATTAGTCATATAGTAAATAAGAAATGGATTGCCTCTAGGTCTGAAGATAAGGTGATGGTGGTGAAGTGACAATTTGATTTAGATCACTCATTCATGCGTGCACAACGCCTCTAACAATTTTGGCATCCATGCATGAATTAAAGGTGTTGTGATTGATGAGAGACCAAGGTCTAATTGGTGTTTTAATAAATATATTCTGACCTGGTAATCGAGCCAGATTTATCAGCAGAAAATGCCCCTGTCTAAATAAAATTACCAAGGTAAAGCTTAGGAACAATGACAAATGCCATGCAAGTAATTGGCTTGGGGACGGGTGCTGGCAGCAGGACGGGCACGCGGCAGGTTTATTTGCATTTGGGATCAAGTATCTTCAGTCAAATTTCAGCAAGCAAACAAAGCCAGGGATGGACTTGACAGTAATGGCATTGCTTTGAACTCTCCCATATGTTCAAAGGAGGCAGTGAGAGGGAAGGAGGGGAACTGATGGAGCCAGGCCGTGAGCTGCTCTCCTCAGATCCCAGCTTCCTTCCTCGCCCAGTTTACTCATTTAATTCTTCTATTTTAAAGGGTTTTCCATTTATTTTTTCTTAACTTGCCAACCCAGCGTAAAAACCAGAATTATTTGTCCATAGCCTCTCTGTCTGTAGAGGTCTATGCCTCTTGCAAGAGAACTTGTCCCCAGCCAGCACATACACTTCTATCAGGAAGCTCTCTCCCAGCACTGTCATTTTACCAGAGCTCCTGTGATTTTCCCTAAAACACTCAAATCTGGAAATGAACTTAGGTAAGAGTATCAGATTTGTTTGAAAATAAAAATAAGTTCCCCAAATGGTGGAGAAAATATGAGACCTGGTGTTAACATACCAGAAGGCATATGAAATGAGCCAAAATATTTATATGTGGATCTTTCTCAAAGCAACATGTGATGAAGTTAAAATTCAGGATGGGAAGGGAAGCACAAAGTGTGAGCAGCAGTATGGTAAGAAACAGAAAGTGTTTGGAGAAACTGCTCAACCGTGACCATCAGCGTGGTCAGGCATTCCTGACCATTGTGATGTACCCCACGGCATGGCAAAAGCCTATTTATCACAGGAAAACCACTTCCATGGTCAATTTGTTTTTTTGGGCATCACTTTTCTATGCAATAAACACCCCTGACTTCACATTGAGAACAACCAGCCACTGGAATAATCTCCCCAAGGAAGTGGTGGACACCCCAACACAGGACACTGTTAAGATTTGGCTGGACAAGGTGCTAGGACATCTCATCCAGGCCATGTTTTGCCTAGAATGATTGGAGCAGATGATCCACAAGGTCCCTTCTCAGCTGGGACTCTATGGTTCTATGATACCCAGCAAACCAATCCCAGGAGGACCCTTCAGGTTCAGTCATCTTCCACCACAACAAGCTGTCGGTAAGGGTGGCTGTCCCCATTGCAGGAGCAGCCTGGCCTGTCCTGTCAGCATCCTTCCCAGGATGGGGTGATACCTCAGCAAATGTCTCTGTCATTAACTCAGGTCACCTATCAGATTCTAATTGCTTCTGATTATGGTCTCTTCAAACCAGTCTCTTTTTGGAGCCTCTTTATCAGCCTAACCATAGCTGTCTGCTTCACCAAATCCTCCTCTGGAAAGATTGTAGACATCATTCAGGCCTGTACAACCAGATTTATCTGCCTTTCCACCCTGTAGCTCTCATTCACTAAGGAAAACCTTTGGCTGTACAGAAGCAAGAGCATAGCTGAGCAATACCCTTCCAATTCTCATCTGCATTCTTCATTGACAGGCATTTAGCCTGAAGAAGGGAAATGAATAGCCTGGTTTATAGGCTGAAGAGGTCTGACTGTTCAGCATTCCCAGTATGTAATTCAAGGATTAATCCAGTGCTGCTGGCCTCCTTGCTTTGTACTCCCCTTTCCAAATACTGTGATTAGAAACAATATTTGGCCATCAGGACTGTGGTGTTTATTTTCCCCTGGGAAAATGACACTGATATAAGAACAGAAGCAGAAGTGTTCTCCTGCCCACAGTGTTTGCTCTTTCCATCTCTCTGTCAAACATCTCCAGCTTGTTTAAATTGGGTGCACAGACAATTAAGAGCTGCCACTACCAGCATCTTCTTCCTTCATGTCCAGCCTTGGCCTCTCAGAGGTAAGACTTTTCTGTATCATTTTGAACTTACTATTGCTGTATTTACACCATATCTCAAATACAATAATTTCTTGGACCTTCTGTTACTTTAAACTTACACCCAAGAACTTGGAAGTGGTATGACTGAATTAAGCCAGCCCTGGTTGAAGAGCAAGGGTTTTCCTTGTCTTCCCTGAGCAATCCCCTGGCATTACCATGTAGGGAGCTCAGATCTGCATCACCTTCCCAGCAGGAAAAGACACAACCCCCCCTGGTAGGACACTGAATTGACACAAATCCCAGGGAGCAATGTGGGTGACTGGGGATGGACACCCCCCAACACCCCCCCCCCCAGCGAGCTGCTGTGCACTGAGGTATTCCTGATGTTTATTAAGAAAGAAATCCCATTTGCCCATTAATTACAACACAGGTATAAACCAAATCAGCCAAAAACACATCCCCTCCCAGTGCCCTAATTTTTGCATTACCCTCATGAGCATTCCTGCAGGCTCCT